GGACACGTCGGAAGATCTCGGAAAGACTTGAAACATAGGTTACCGAATGTGCTGATCAACGTGGCGATGTTTGTTTTTGACTAGAAGTTGACTCAAGGTCACCAGCGTATTTTTAATAAAAAAACGGATTTTTGCGTGAAGCCTGTCAAAACTAAACATAAAAAACGACGAGCACGCGAAGTGGGTGTGAGGAGTTCTAAGTGATTTTACTGGAAGGGATCCTATATTCCTATATTTCATACTGTCGCAACAGTGCGCAAGCGCCTTTTCGTTGCTGTGGTACTCCGAAAGAATTTCAACGTTTCGCTTGGAAATCCAGAATCATCTTCCTGTTTTCTAAATAGTTTAAGAAAGGCACATTTTCAACTGATTTCCTTGCTGAAACTTCATTTCTTTTTGTCGGTCTTCTTCACAGACAATTTTTGTTGCTTCACATACCACGAAAATCTTCTCAACTGCGCAAGATGCACTCAAAAAATCAGGCCAGTCTAAGCCTGATCTGGCCCAACGGGTATCATTTGCCGAGGCCAGAAAGCTAGCCGTGTTTTTAATATCTCAAGGAGGACTGCGGTTTATTAGCCATTTCCGAATTATTTTTAGATCGTAAAGGGTATGGAATAACTATGAAACGACTGTTCTGTGGAGACCACTCAAAGCCAACCACAAGACTGATTCAAAAGGGCTCTGAAACCTGTTGTTAATGATCATTCTTCTGAACATTGGGTCACCACATAATATTTGAACGACGCTAAAGTTGGTGGTAATAGAGTGTAAGTTACAAGATACCAGTACAAATAGAATTTCGAGTACCATCCAATAACCGCCTTACACTGACCAAGCTGAATTTCATAAAAGACCAGCATATGACTATAAAGTAGACAGCAAACAGCAAACACTGTTGGAATAACATAACGCGTTGCTGTTCTAGCTGTAGCCAAATTTCGATAGTTCACTTTCGATGATGTCATCAGATATCGATCAACACATGCCATAAGCAACAGTGTCGTCGATACTGTGGCTGCCACATAACTTACATAGAAAATGGCTTTACAATGACTATTCGAATAGTTTCTCCAATTAATATTAAAGCCATTTCCCAAATATGATCCTGGGAGTAGTCCTGTAGCGATCACAACAAAATTACTCACTGATGAAGCAAATATATAGCGACTGGACGAGTAACTTCGCAATGACTTCACGGTGAATAACACCAAGTTGGAGAAGTTTCCAAAAAAGCCAAAGACGATTAATATAGGTGGCAATGATCGAAATGTGTAGATACTGATAGTGGAAATAATGGTGATGGATGACATGTTGTCTTTTGATTAACAAAAGACTAATGAAGAAAATACCACTCTCTAAAGAAAAAGGTATCCGATGGAACCTTTTAAGATTCTAGTAGAGGTGCAGAACCTTTTAGGGTTCGATAGTGTCTGCACTGAACCAGCAAGGGTTCAAGCCGAATATCATCATGCCAACTGCCCTTAGGTTTTCAGAGAGCGGTTATCTGGAAAAATACTTTTTCTGAAACTCTAGAAAATAACCAAAAGCTGTTCTTAATGAGTTAGAATTCTAGCCCGTAAATTTCTGATTAAAATGAGACATCTCTCAGCTCTAGAAGATCTTTCGTTGCTAAGTTTTAGAATTTACAAGAGAAGGCCTAAATTAGTTTTTTCCTTATTTCTGTAGCTTTGAGCAGACAATGAACATTTAGGCCCTCTCTTATAAATTCTGTAACTTTGCAACGAAAGTTTAGAGCTGGGAGATGTCACATTTTAATCAGAAGTTTATGGGCTACAATCTATAATCCACTTGAAAAACTAAATGCTTTTGTCGACTCATTTTGAGGTACTACAGGTTTTACCGGACGACGTCTGCCTGGAAAATTCTTTCGGAAAAATTTACTTTCCACATGGATAAACGTCCCAGGAGCTACTGTTTCCAATGGTGAAAACCGGAGGTCCCTAGGTCTTTTCGTTCCGGAGTTATAAGCGTTTTGTTCACTCATCTTATTTTTAGAAGTATATAATAGGGCATAAAGTAGGTCCGAGTGAGAATCCTGTTCGTAATTCTCGATTTTGTCTGACAGAACTCATCTTCTATGGAATAAAAATACCATGCTCGGAATCAGGATCAAAGACTGAGTCGAATGATCTGTATTTCTGTACTACCCATTTTTCTCGAATACTCACGTCGAGAAATTATCGAGATTTTCAGCAAAAACCGAAAATCAACTAAAAACTACGAAATAATATTTTTATATGACATTTTTATTACATAGAAGGTGAGTTCCGTCAGAGACTGTCGCCCACCTAATCTTTTGTTCTCTGTCTTATTCTGTGCACATAAGGAGTCACTATGTTCTCTCATTCTGTTTGAAAAAGATCGAGAATTACGAGCAGAGTTCTGACTCGGACGTAGTTTTTGACCTAAAGCTTTGTATGTATACAGTCTGTACTAAAAAGGAAATATATCATCCGGTAGAGATGAATGAAAGTTTCATCATATATTTTACTCTCAGTTCGTCCCAGATTTTTAAAGTATAATTTTCTAAATTTTATTAGCTTATTTTTCATATCAAGGCCTAATTAACTTACTACGGTGAAAATTAACAGCACACAGTATCTTCTTACACAGTATGAAATAAGCGGCGTTTACTAAACCAAGCTTTAAGGGTTTAGTAAGCGGACTGCAGAAGTGCGTCTGCTGTCGTCATCACAGAGCTCTCGTTTTGCCTTTACATGAAAGCAAATTGCTGCTGCAAACATGGGAATATTAAGTTGTATTTTTGCATATCTTAGTTCCATAGATGCAGCAAATAGAAGTGATAAAACTATCGGTAGACGCGCACTTATTCTCGATAATCCAAGGTGGCACAAAATTTTGCTCCTTAACATTTTCAAAAACACAGAAACTGCCTTCATTTATTGTGTCAGTGTCTGTCTGGTTTCCGTCTATTAGTTTGGAAAAAGTAAGTAAAACTTCTTATTTTCAGTGACTGAACGAAGGTGTTTTGATTTGTTATTCCTGAAGAAAACGCTTCTTATTTCTTACCCTGCTGCTATTTGTTTTATTCCTTCTCGTTCGAGATAAAATAAACAATACTAGTGCAGAGATGTTTCTCCCCATTTTCTGTGAACGAAAAAAGGGTGCGATATCCTTTGTAGATGTATTCAACCTGTTGACATATTTGTATTGGTTGTCTCTTTCCGTATTTTTTCTTTATACATTACAAAAACCATAAGCAGCAGAGATGATGACGATTATGATTTCTTCATTTGCAGGGTGCGCCACGAGTAAAAAGTTCTTGACAGAATTGCTTACCTGGACAAAAATTACTATAAAACGGATTTTAGTCGGTTTTCGTGACTGTGAACATCGTTTCGTTCTAAAGGAAGAAGCATTTTTTGAAAGCAAAAGCAAAAATTTAGTTTTTGTGGAAATGACAATCTTCATTCACTTTTGCTTCTGAATTTTCCTTCCAGAAGATTGAAATTAGCGAGTAAAAGAGAAGAAAACTAACAGTCGAAAAGGATCGCAGAAAGCTTTACTCAATAGTAGAAAAGATTTAACAAGACGGCAAAAGCCGTTTACTAAACCATTTTCTATGGTATAGTAAAATGCAAAACTTATCAAATATACATAATCTATCATGCAGAACTGAGAAGAAACTTTTTCTCATCTCCGAGAACGCAAGATTTTCGAAAAATGTCTCAGACTTATGTCAGATTACGAGCTTAATACATAAAAGCGGTGTTGATGTCAACTTCTATTATATGGAGGATTAATTTTAAAGATGTCAACATAAGTCACGGAACCGAGTAGTGGCAGACGAGCGTTACCTTCTAGATTCGTAGCAAACAGATACAGATTATTCTATTGACTAAAATCACCATTATCGTCTGTTCGAGAGTATGACAATCACTGTAAAGTGGAATTTTTTTCAAAGGTAACAGATTTGTAGACAGAACTCTTTTCTACAAGACTAGTTCTTTCATGTCTAAAAGTAATTAACGGCTGATGACACGTACATCATTCTATTTTCGGCATGGTTTCACATAACATAGAACAATATATTTTTCTTTTCTTTTTCCACTCCATTTGTGTTACCGCAATGCATATGTAAAGCCATGCTGAATAAAATAATATACACGTGATGGTTTACTCTCGACTAGTCCCTAATTGTGTAGTTTCGGTCACCTTTGATGTTGTTTGATCTACGAAGCCATATATCGCCATAAAGGCGTTGATAATAGTACATATCGTGATAAATTCTACGTCGCGATCAATCAGACAGTCTTGACAGATCACGGTGTAACTTATTACAGAGTGATCACGATGCAAAACAATGTTGTGTTCGACCGCAATAAATATATACTTTTAAAAAGTATTAAAATGCAGACAGGAAACATGTTGGCTAGATTCAAATATAGTAGGAAGACCGTAAAAAACGTAATTATTCTCGTCGTTTTCTAAGTATTAATTTTTTATTTGGTTTTTATTTTTTAAGTTTAAGTGTCTCTTACACTTACCACGATTTATGTTTCTTTTCTAGTTCTACTGAAGAATGATAAATCACAGTCAAAAAGTGTTTAACTGAAAGCTTTTTTGAGAGTATACGTCTTTTCCTTTTTTAATATGGAACGAGTCCATTAATAAACTCTTTTTTATTACTTGTTTTGTTGCGTTAGATTCAGTCGCATGATACCAACATAACTGCATATAGTACATTGAGTAGTATTTAGTTCACAATCCTGTGTATGCTGAATAATTCGTTTAGAATTATGAGAAGAATTATTAGAAATTTATAGCAGCTTCCTTGATTAGTATAATTTACCTTATTTTCTCGACAGTTACGAGAGCGTTTTAGAAAATATATTCTGGTCTATCGGTCGCCATTCCTCTATTCTCTATTTTACGACTATCTCTGTATGCTGCTGTTGTACAACATTCTAATTTAGAATAATTTTTGTATAGATGTATAGAGAAATTCCGTATAATAAATGTGTGTTGATCACCGAATTTGTTAGCAGTGAAATGATCACCAAAAAATCTCAGTTTAGAAAATGAGCTTTTCCATATTTTATTAAAATATGGTTTCGTAAACTGTATATAATATAAATTATATATGCTAGATAGAATGAACTGAAGGCTTTATATTGTGCAACAATCAACTCTTATAAATGTACGAAAAGTTTCTAAGTCCAAAAAACATTTTAGTTCTACTTGTGTAGCTTATGGCGCCAAATCTAGACTTGTGTTTGAAAAAAGAACGCGCACTGATCAATGTCCCATGTTGGAAGATTATCCTCCCGCTTTCAGAAGTTTCCTACGTAGTGTAGTTCGCTAGATCACATGGTGCACATTTTATAAAAAAATGAGTAAACAAAATAAAAAAGAAAATCCCACCAAAAATCCATAATGTCTGTCGACATAATTAACTTTGTCATCCTCATTGTTTTGGTTCATATTCATCGTCGTCTTTTGAATTCTCAAACACTTTGATGTAACGATGACTTACTGCTCTTAACAATTTCTGTAATCTTCTAGACCTATATGACCACACATATAATTTTGTTTGTCAGCAATCAATATAACATCATTATGTATTGATTTTGCCTTTCTGGGACATGTACTTCTTTGTTGACGTTGTTCTTTTTTTTTCGATTATGCGATCTTTATTACTACCCTCTGGAGCGCTTGTAAAATAGATAAATAAACATATACATCGTCAGCACAAAGTAGTAGAACCTAGTTTACAAAAACAAAAAAGAACAACAACAACAAAGGGTAATATTTTTAAATATCATTCTAAACTTGTATATAAACATAGGTTGTAAAACAGGTAGAATACAAAAATAAAACAAGAAAAGGATATCACAGACACATATATAAGGGCAGCCTCAGTTACTTACTTCTCTAAAAAATCTAACCATTTAACAATAGAAGAAACATGAATATTTAACATATTTTTTTACATGTTTTATACGAAAGAATTGACCATATTTGCCAACTTTACTTTCTGGGAAATTTTTCCAGAAAAATATGTCATTATAAAAAAGGACGAGGACAAATCGCTCTCATATACTTCAGAGAGTCTATGAGACAGATACTCTTTGACATAAGCGTCCAGAGTTGGTTCGTTACTACTTTAAAAAGATCGTCCTTTCCTACAGAATAACATCTATGAATAATGCGGAGTCCTACACGATATTTTCTATAAAATAATTCTTGTTGAGTGCGAGGCAGTAGTGGGAAAAAGGTGCGTATCCAAATGAAAAAGGGAAACGAATACGCAAAAAAACAGAGACGTAGCACATTGGTCGATATCCGTCTGTTTCAATCTCAATTTTACATACGATTGTTCTATATTTAGTAAGCATTTTAAAACCGTATGTTTCAGGGAGAGTTTACTCGTCAAAATCAACCCGAGATATGTAAATTCTGAAACCAATTCTAACATCCATCCATAGAAATTAATTTCCACTGTCGGTTTAATTACTTGAGAATAAAATAACTGTCCAACTGTTTTAGTGAGCTTGATTGGTTGTTTCCAAAGGACAGAATATTCGTGTACTCGCTCACATACTTTCGAGCCCTCTTTACTTAAATAAACTAACATTGCACGTAGATCGACGTTAACTGGAGACGAAACTAAGACTGCTAGATCATCAGCAACAATGTGAGCTACGTTTGCTTCAACTCTTAACACTAAATCTGAATGAAAAATAATAAAAAGAAATGGACTAAGTGAGCTACCTTGAGGTAGACCCTGATGTAACTCAAAAATTTTCGACGTAAACTCACTTAAAACCATAGGCTTTTCTCCCTTGCAGCCAGAATAAAATCAACTTTAATAGATACGGTGGCATGCCTAATCTGAAGAGCTTAACTATAAGTCCTACATACCACACCATATCATATGCTTTTTTGTAATCAAAGTACACAGCTAGGGTTGGGATGTTACCTGCTAAATTGTTTTGGATTTGTTGGTGCAAAGAGATAATTCTGGTTTGAAGCAGGCAGTTCTCATAAATTTTTGAATGTGTTGCTAACAGAGAAATAGGCCGCGTCGGCTTGAAAGACAGAACGGCTGTCTTCAACTTATTCAAGGTAACGATTTTAGCTGATTTCCAGTCTTCTGAGGATACACGGTTTTTGAGCCATTCATTAAAACAGCTAGTTAGACATTCTACATAGGCGGGCGGAAGTAATTTTAACATAAAATTTGATACCCCATCCCATCCGGACGACTTTTTTGATTTTAAGTTATGGATATATTTATTTAGTTCTAGAACAGAGATGGGTTGAATTAAATCGCTACAATTATGTAGTTTAATTAAAATTTCTTTAAACTCCTCCGCTATTTCAACATCACTCCCACTGCGTTTATCTGTGCTTAGTTGTTGAAACTGTTTTGAGCAAAATTTCCCTAATTCCTCCGTTATTTTTGCTAAATCCGATACCAATTTAGAAAGGGGCAATACTTTAGGCCTATATATATGAGAGAGGTATGACCAAAAAGGCGACTTCTTGACTCCATGACTGTCCTGTATGGAGCTCAGAAAAGCGCTCCACC